TGACACTGAGCCATGTGGTTTGGTGCTATGGTGGGGATGGTTGATGGTTGGATTAGATGACCTCAGTGGTCTTTCCAACCTTAATCATTCTATGATTTTACGCTCTAGGCATCAGATTTGAACCTGCCCTCCCCAAAATTAAAAGCAGCCACAGAGGATGTTTGTGCCACACATCGGACTGCTGTAACACAATGATCGATGTTAAAGGGTGAACAGTAACTTCCCAGTGAGCCCCACCTTAGCCTTCAGTCACCACTGGACAAAGTTACCTTCCCCTCCTCCTGGTGCCATCACACACACCAATGCTGTCCTCTGCTCTAGAAGCATCTCTGGATGTCTGGACCCCCACTGAGCTCTGGAAGAGGTTACCTCACATATGTGAGCATGAAAATTGCACTGTAAGCACAAAGCCAGGCATCTCTTTTGGGTTTGTGCAGGATCCAGATGCCCCACGCACCACTGATTCCCTCTCTGTAACATAACGTCTTTAAAGAGTGCTTTGAGCCATCGTCATTGCAAAGCCACTGCAGTGTGGGAACAGGCTGACTCAACAGAGCAGCACTACCTCCCTCCCACTGCACCACTGCTCTCAGCACACAGCTGCTGTAGGGAAAGAGGTGGCACAGACAGAGCTGGGACCCCAGTGCCAGCAGGAGATAACATCCAAGTTGTGCTTGAAGTGGATGGGGAGCTGGGGAGTGCAAGGTTTCTCACTCTGCACTGCACATCTTGGCCTTGCTTACTCCAATTGGGAATGGGAAGATTTCCTATGAGGCATGAGGATGTTTTGCTACCTGAAGCAACACTCCACCACTGCCCACACATGCCAGCCAGATCTGACAGTGGCAGAGCACCCAACCCAACCTGTCCTGCCCATCCTGCCACCCCCCACAGCACGGCACTGCCACTGGAGAACCTCCCTGACAGCATTACATCAGCATCAGGGGCCATCAGAAACATGACTGCCACACAGCAAAGTGACTCAGCAGGGACAGTACAGCCACTGGCGTGATGTGATGGATTGAGTGGCAAAAAAATAAGGGCAGGATCCTGGGGAAGAAATCCAGCAGGCAGAATGTGTAAACATGACTGAGACCAGGACTGTTGTTTACTGGTTGGAAAATGTGAGTGTGAGGCATGGACTACTTGGTGATGCAGTTCCTGAAACAATAAGCAAGTGTTTGCCATACACAAACTGGATCGTGCCTGTTTTCTCTTTTGTTTGGGGATTTATATAAGGATGGGAGGCTGTGGCCATTGGATATCAACTGGCTTTCATGCAGGTCACATTTATGGCTTCTAATCCATGCAGCTGAGCAAGCCAACCTGCGTCCTGAAATAGGGTACAAAGCCTTTTGTGCACCAGCCTCCTGCTATTCTTGGGTTACCAATAAACAAGTTCATTCTGTAATCCTTATTTTCCTTCCTGTTACTTCAGTAACACAAGGTATCACAATGCCCTCACAAAACCAAGTAACGCAGAGCTTGCAGAACGTCAGGAGAGCCTCTGAGCTGGTAGAGGCAACTCTTGCACTGAATTCAGGTTTTGAACACTAAGTTTGAATGGGCACAGCCTGAGGATCCAGTTCCAGTGGCCGACTGGGAGTCCTTGAGACAATCATTTATTTTAATGATGGTTTCTTGGCCCAGCAATGCAGGTTTTGAGGATCAGGAGCTATCTATAGTTAAGCTCAAGGAAATGGCTTTTTTATTTTTCCATACCTCAAAACAAAATACTTCATATTTCTGTTAAAAATGACAATTTTAATTAAAAGAAAGCTTTTGTTGGATCCAAACCCTACCCTTTTCCTCTTGATGTTTTACTGGTGTGCTAAGGAAAAGCCGCCTGAACAACCCTGCATGTTGCCCCACGGGTCAGCCTGACAGAGTGCCAGGTAGATCAGCAGGTCCAGCTCAGGGAGAACAGCTGGGCTCTGCAAACACTGTGTCATCAACTGCCACACCTCACAGCTTTTATGACAGTGGGGTTAAAAGCCACTGACACAATTTCACAGGGCTTGTCTCAATGAGTGTCAGCCTGGAAAAGATCCTAACCCTAAAGCAATGATCAGGTCACCATTCTGATACTCTTGAGTTTCTTCCCTATAACCTTAGCTCAAGATGAGGAGTCATTTCTCTACACGTGCCTTAGCACTACATGAGGATTCTATAGCTGAGATGAGACACAACCACACAGGATGGTTCTGGAGGTGCCCTAATTAGTGTAATCCCTATTTCAATGCATGCCAACAACTTACAAACCTGAAACTGCAAGCAGCCCTTGGCCAAAAAAATTTGTATCATCCTTGAAAGCAACTATAAAATCATTTGTCACAAATCCTGACTGTTTCTTCTCTGGCATTGTTCTAGTACTTAAGAAACGGAAAATGAGAATCCAAAAACCCTTTTAACCCTCATATTTCAACCCTTGTGTTTCTCCTCCTTAAGAAGCTGAAATAATAGACATTCCAGAAGAAAACATTTAAGAGTTGGCTTCAACAGTGGTTATTTCTCAGTTTTAACTTGCTATGTAAAATCTTTTTGCCCTCCTTCCAGGAAGTTCCAGGCAAACAGCACTGCTGGGCTGAGCTGCAATGCCTGCAGCTACGGCACCGAGATCTGAACCTCCCTTTACCGGTAAGAGGTAAAGCATCTGCAGGCAAGCTGCAGCCCAACCACGCCTATGTGGCATGTGCAGAAAAGTTGTAGCAGATGGGTAATGATTTCCTTCGAAGGGCTTCAGAAAACTTGCCTGGAGTGAGGAACAACCCGGTAACAGAATGATGATGTACTAACAGAGGGCAGAGCTGGAGCTTCAGCCTTGAGAAGTGAAGCCTTCCATTTGGGTTCAGTGGCACCTGGTCCACCATACTTTGCCCAGAGAGGTGGTGGTGCCCCATCCCTGCAGACACCCAAGGTCAGGCTGAATGGGGCTTAGAGCTCCTGCTCAAACTGTGGGTGTCCCTGCTCATTGCAGGGGGTTGGACCACATGGCCTTTAAGGGGCCCTTCCATTTCAAGCTATTCTATGATTCTATATTAAATCGGAATGTATGGAAGATGTGAAAGAAGTGCTCCCTAACCTCAAAAAGGGTTCAGAAGCAGCTAATTATCCCAACTTCAGCAAAAAAGCAAAACACTGTATTTCCAGCCTGTCAAGGGCTGTCAGCACTGCAGGCTTTAACTGACTAGTTACTTGTCTGTCATCTCCAGGATCTCTCTATCAGTAGGAAGCCCAGAGGCTCAGCAGCACTTTACGCTCATCTCTTCGAAAAGTAGCTTGGATTCCAATGACATTTCCTGAAGGAAGTCACCACTGCTGATCCCCCATGTATGAACCCATCAGATGTGCAGGACGATCAGGGCTGCCTCTGCCCAGTACACTGCTGGCTGCTCTCCAAGGCCTTCCCAGCATGGTAAATGACTCACCCAGGGCCTTCCTTCCCTGTGAGTCAGGAGAGGTGAGAGCCCAGTTCACCACTGCTGAAGGCAGAGCCTTCATAGCACTCACAAGGGCTGTGTGTGCTTTTTCCAAAGATCAGTGGTGGCCGCAGTGCAATGATGTAATTCTTCCCTTCTTTTTTCCATAAGCAGCTGCTACATACCAGTCAAAACCCCACACAAACAGTTTTTCCAAAATATAACTGCAGTCCTTTTTGAATTAAAGGTGTTGATCAGGTGTTGATTGATCTTAATTTTACAACACTGTACTGACATGGAGGCAAACACTGATCAGAGATGCATCACTCATATCAGGGGCTTTGCAGGACCACAGCTTCACCCCAGCAGTCAGCCCAAAGCAAACAGAATGCTTCAGGATCATGCAGCCTCTTCTGCAAGGAGCCTTAATTTCAGGTCCTTAGAGCCCACAGTTGTCCCCCTCCAGGGCCTCTTAGCCACTACATGCACTTTAGGATGTAGGTGCCAGCAACAGGCTTCCCTACATGCAATTCCATTAATACCAACTGTAATCAATAAACACCGTTGTTAACATGTTGTAAAGTCTTCTGTTGTTCTTGGCATACACAACCTAACAAAACCTCCCTGGCAGTCCATTCAGTGATTCTAATAAGAGAAATGTACACATGAGAGATGTCCCCGATCCAGTTAGCAGCAACCAGGCTGCATCGCGGGGGGGATTCTCCGAGCACAGAAAACCACCAGGTCCCGTTGAGCCCTACTGGCTGCTGCATGGCTGCAGGGGCTCTTAGCACAGAGGCTGCCCAGACACATGACTCAGGACAGAGGCCATCATGGACTGTGCCCCCAAAGCCACCTTGGTGAAGCCAGGACAGAAGCAGACCTACAGGGCAGCCACAGGCAGGAAGCTGGAGCTGAACAGCACAGCCATATCCTGCACCTGGAGGAGCCACTAGTGGGCACCACAGTGCACGGGGTGGTGGATCTGTGGCATGGATTCACACCATTCACAGCCATCTCTTAGTCTGCCAGCAAAGTTTCAGAAGAAGCTTAGAGAAAAGCTGTCAGCTGTGGCTACCTGCTCTCCAGCAGCCAGGGAGGAAGGAGGCTGACTGAGCCTGCAGAAGCCAAAGGCCGAGAGCCCTCACCCTGCAGGACAAGGCTGCAAAGCTGGAACAAGGAGCAGGGAGAAAACTGCACAGTGTTTGGGCCGCAGCTCTCCTACGTGGGGGTTTGCACTGAAGGCAGCCGGTGTCACAAGCAGTGCCACTGTCCTGTTTTAATTCTAAGCTGCAGCTCAGCACTGAGTCTGCCCTGTGCTGGCAAAGGTGTCCTCCAAACAAGCTGCATGCCACCAAGGCTGGCACAAGCTGCCACCCTGGCTTTGTTCTACTCTTTAAGCCTTTTCCATCAGTCAGCAAGTTCTGTTTATACACAGCAAACTCGTTCCATTCTCCACCACAGAACCACTCAGAGGGAGAGGGGCTGATTCAAGTTGTACCTCTGTTTTGAAACCTTTTTCTTTTCCCAGTCCAGACACAAAAGGAGAGAGCCGAGAGAGAGGAGAGAGCCGCAGCTCACCTGAGTATGTCGATTTCCTCATGCTGTCCCTTCGGGCTGCTCATAGGAACGTCGTGTGGTCACAGCTCAGTCCTTTTGTCAGTGTGGGCACAGACAGGGAGGGGACACACAAAGTGCCACATCCACACGTGCGGGCGCAGCCGAGGGGCAGCGCAGCGCTCCCATTAATTAGCGCACACCTTTCCTCATCTCGCACACAGTTCTGGGCTGTTCCAACTCTCCTGGCATGGACAGGGGTAGAGCGGGATGCAGCCTCCCTGGTGGTCGCACGTTATCACCTCGGAAAGCAAATGGGAGCTGTGGATTATTGCTGCCAACCTCCAGCCTTGGAAAAGCCGCTGCTGTCAGTCACAGTGGCAATGGAAGGGAAGGGAATTTCATGCCTTCAGCCCGGCACACCCCACGGCTTTGACTCGGCCCTTTGCTGCCAAAACAGCTCTGATCAGTGCTGCTCTGCAGCCCGGCTGATTCTAGTTCAAAGTGCATTATTGGCCCGGCAGCACCCGGCAGTGTAAACATCTCTTTCCTCTTTCTGTCCAGTCGTAAAGGGCCCATTCAAGGCTGCAAGCCGAGTGAAACTCTTGTGCAAGCTCATGCCTTGGGGAGAGATATACGGGAGCTCCATATGGAATAAGCAGTTCCCAAGGGATCTGGCATACCCCTGTCACCTGGCTGTTACTGGGAAGGGGACTCAGCATGCAGCTCTGTCACAGCAGGAATGTGCCGGGTCACTCCCTTGTGAAATGCCCCTCAGACAATTAGTTACATAAATGCAATAAAGCTGGGGGCACTATGAACACAGACAGCAAGAGAAAGCAAAGACTTGCTGCAACTAAAGGCAGACTGAAGTGCTGAAGGAAGGGCTGAGCAATTGCTACTGAGATTTCCACCGCCTGCTGGATGACTCACCCACACAAAGGACAGAGCACGAGTCCCATCCACACGAGAAACTTCACCAGACTCAGACAGGACTTCAGTACAAAGAGATTTCTTCATGCTTTTGGTGTTTTGGACTTCTCTGGAAAGTCCAGAGTAGTAGAAAGTAGGAAAAAAAAACAATGCCCCAGCAATAATGCTGGCATCCCACAGGAACAGAGCAGGTGAGCAGGACTGTGAGGCTTAAGTAAACATATATCCAAGCCAATAGTAACAATATACGATTCTCTTCACAAGTTCTTTTGAAACTGCTAGTCACAATCCATGCGGGAGAAACAATGCACAATGGCTTGCCCTGCCTCACACACCAAGCAAGGGCAGAGCCAGGAGCAGAACCCATTCCCAGCACTCATCCTGTTGCTCTGTTCTTGCCCACATCTCTCTGATGACCACGATTACCTTTAACACTCAGCACTCATGGGGATATATTTTTGTAAAATGTCAAAAGACAGCATTTCTGCTCCTCTCTCATATGGGTGTATGTGCATGTGTGTCTGATTAAGTGTGCAATTACGTGTGCAACTCAGTGCACGGTCACACGTGTGCCTGCTGCTGACAAGACTATCAGAGCTGCAGTGTGGGCACAGCCTTCTGATCAGCCCGGCTGCACAAACACAAACCACAAATTGTGCAGCCGGCCCTTCTGCTGCGGGGCCAAACAAACATGATGAGACAGAAAATGGCTGAAAGGATTTTGCCTGAAATATAGCCCAACAAAGGATCCTTTTCTTTGGCTGCCTGGGCCTCAGAATTACCGAGAGAGTCAGTACTTCAGCTCAGAAAGGCAGGTTAATGTTTAATACAATGCAGAGCCCACAGGCCTCAAGTAGGTAAGGCATTTGTAGCTTTTTTTTCTGCTTCTAAGATTAGTGAGGGAATTTATTGTTCCTGAAAGAGAGGGATTCAGGCTGCTGGCTCAGCCCAGCCACAGCACAGACAGGCACCGCTGAGCCTCCTGCACCAGCCCTGCAGGACAACCCCACTCTCAGCCAGTGTACAGGCCAACTCACACTCTGTCCTGCCCCAGCCTCTGTGGGAACCCTTCTGCATCACACATCCCACTGTGGCACTCCTGCATAAGCACAGTGCTGGTTGTCAGAGGCTGCACCAGCCCCATTCATTTCTGTCTGGCAATGCCCTGCTCCATGCACATGCGCTACCCACACGCACTCAAGCTGCATCTGCTGAGCCTACCCCAGCTGTGATGCTCTCCCCAGCTATACATCTCATGATTTTGCCTGTAGCACACACGTTGTAGCTTCACAGCAGGCACAGAAAGCATTTTCTGTGAGCAGAATGTGCTCTCTCTCTCCCTCTCTCTCTCTCCCAGTAGCATCCTCCAGGCAAGCACGTTCCCCAGCATGGGGGGGTCCTGCACTGAGATATGCAATCTCCCAAGCTAAACATCATGCAGTGAGCAGAGGAGGGAGAGCCGAGCACCGCCAGCTCCGGCCGGTGGGGCTGGGGCAGCGAGCCAGGAACTCAGCAAAGGGTCAGAGAGAGAGAGGGAGAGACCAGGGGAGACAGCAGCAGCAAACAATGCATAATGCAACCAGGACACAGAAAGAAGGAAAGGGTGGGCACCTGGGGAAAAAAAAATAGAATCCTGTGGACTAGAACAAAGTTGGACATAAGGGCATGCTGAGCTGTGCAATGCCTCTTCTACTGATTCATTCAATTGAGTTTCCCATCTTGCAAAAGGGGAGGAAAGCTGAGTTTTCTCAGGGTGTGGGGAGGCTGAGTGTTGCTCAGTGCTGCCCTGGGGCTCCCAGGCATTGCTGGTAGGCAAAAGGCACTGCTATAGCAGAGCAGAGCAGAGCTCCCCAGGTGATCAGCAACGAGAAGGCAGAATTTATGCTGCAGAGACCTGCGGTCAGCATAGAGCAGGGCTGAGGCCTCTATTTGGGGAGCAGTATCTGAGTGATTTAGAGGTGGAAACTCAGGTGCTGGGGCTATAAACCACCCACATCTCCTCCAGCTCTGTTTGTTTTATATATGATCCTCCCAGCAACGTTCTCCTGCCCAATTGCTCTTTTCTGGCTGCATTACTAGGAGAGAGAATGCAAAGTTTTCCACCCTGCTCTCTGCCAGCATCCCATCCTCCCCAGCACAGGGAGGCAGCAGCACAGCATCCAGGTTATCTAAGCAGAAGTTACAGCCCAGGGCTGACTTATTATTTAGCATTGCAGCTGGAGGAAAATGAGGCCTGTCAGCTCCGAACTTTGAGTTGGTCTCTTTCAACAGCACACCTCCCCTGATCTTTGAGGGGGTGATAGAAATCAGCTCCATAAGCAAAGTTTCTGATAGCGTTCCTGGAAAATACGGGCTTCTCAGAGCACAGCGCTTGGAATGTCTCACAGAGTGATGGGCAGTGACCTGGAACTGCCTTGCCCACTTCTCCTACACCTGGGGATAATCCAACACAGTTTACATCCACAGAGCCTCTGAGCCCTGACTTTGAGCACAGGCGCACTCAAATCCAGTGCCTGCTCCATTCAAAAGCCTGGTTCTCAGGCTTGCAAGGAGGAAATTAGGGAAAAGAGTTATGAAGTACATTTTGGGTGACGAATAATGGGGATAGGGCAGCAAGATTTGTCTGAGAAGAGCTCAGGTCCACACAAATGGAGAATCTCTCACTTAAAATTATGTCTGGCATTTTGAATCCATGTAACTGAAGAAGCAAACAAAGCCCATCTAACTGTCCCATGGTACAAAGTATGTATACAAACCCAGTCTGGGGAGAATAAACACAAAGAACAGGAGGGACACGAGCCATTGCCAGGGAGCACAGCTCAGATTTTGCCATTTTGCAGTTCTGAGCCACTTTGACCTGGATTTAATGCAGCTTCCTTTCTGCCTGCTCCTCAGTAAGAGGACACAACTGCTCAGCTCCTAAACATCAGTTCACAGACAAAGGAAGCAAGGCAGGTGTGCTATCTAAAGCCTCACGCATTAGCTCTCTGCTGTTCCCAGGAACTGATTCACTCCTTTAGGACACATCCAGACTTTCTCTGCAGTCTTAAATGCACAGGGCTGAGAGGTAAATAACTTAGCAAGGTGTTTCCCAACTCCTTTGCCTGTGATTCCATCTGACAAAACAGCACAAGGCCCCAGTGCCACAGTACAGTCATATACAGTCCAGTGGGCATGCTGTTCTCTTCTTTGGGCTGATGGTTATGGTGAGGAAGCAAATAACTTAATGAAGCAATTACTCATATCAAATCAGCAGGTTTTGTTCTTTTCTCCTGCCTTAATTATGAGGAACCAGGAAGAACATCCAATTACTTAGTAATGAAATTCAGCCTTGACTAAGATAACATCTGCTCAACCACAAGGTACATCAGATGGTTATTTCATAGAACAGCCCCTCCCATGGGTAGGGAAGGGAACACTCCAGGCTCACATTAAAGCTGAAGGGCCCATTAACAGACAAAAAGGGGCAGAAGTCAGCGCCCATACAGTAGAAGAAAAGCTTCCTGGTAGCCTGAGTGAGAGGTCATAAGAATTTTGCATTCTGAATGGCAGCCACCTCCGAAAATAAAGCTCCTGAAAGTGCTTCACAAGTTGACCTACAGGAATATCCCCCCTTAAGAATCTTTGAAATCCCTCAGCTGCTTTCAGAAATGCCAACCGAGCACTTTTAGAACAAGTTGGAAGTCTGAAAAACAAAACCAGGTCAAAGTCAAACTCTCAAACCCCTCAAAGCTTAATCCATTTGTCACCAATGTACAACCCAGTTATATGGCTTTTATGCTCTATGTTCTAGTGAAACTACAGGAATGAAGCAGGAACAAAGCTTTGTATCAGCTGTGCCCATAGGAGATCTGGATCTTACTTGTCACCAAGTGAGAGCAGTGGTTTTTCTCAAAGCATGAGCTCTGCCCAAGGGCAACGGCTCAGCCCAGTGCCTGCACTGGGTCAAGCTGAGTTATCAGCTCTGTTTGCACAAGTGCACTTTACAAAAGTGAGCCTATGTCCTTAGGGAAGGAGAAGAAGTGGAGTGGAGGCAGAGTGCTGAGCTCTGAACAGTTGGGCTGACTGTTCCTGCTGTGCTGCAGGGAGGCACAAAGCATGGAGCAAATCTGCTGCAGGGGAAGGGGACCACACAGCACCCACTGCAACCTGCCCTCAGAGCAGTAACCAACCTGAGCGTGTGCTAAGCAAACAGGCACGATCATTTTGCTGTTATCATAACTGCTTTTGCTTAGAGACACCCATAGGTATTTAGAGAACAGTACAATCATGCTTAAAGCTGTGTTTAATTGTCTGCTTGCCATCATTTATAAATCCATCCCTAAATGCAGCCCCCAGTATGATTCGCAGCATATTCTTCGACGCGTGAACTTACACATTTGTTTTCCACATTTGCAAAGGCACAAGGTGCCCCTTCCCCTGCTTTGGAGAGGCAGATGGACCCTGCCTGTCTCTTGGAGGGAAGCACTTAACCAGAGCCATGGGGCCT